AGGAACCTGTCTATCGATTTGTCATCTCTCTGTCTCCTTTTTTCAAATCGCATCATCGCTTGATGACCCTCCATGCCTGAGCCGAAACTATTCAACAGTATTTCAAAGATTTTGTCCGCGGTATCGCGTTCTTCTTCTTTCTTCGCAACGTGCCTTCTAAATTGCTGAGTATGGCTGTGCACGCTTGTCTTTCATCGTTCAATTTGTGTTGTTCTAGGTGTAGTCTCATCACTTCCACCCAAGTATCAATGCATCCATCAGAGTCATCTTTGAATTCTTTTGGTTTTTTGAATGTTTTTCTGGATTTTCCCTCTCTTCTATCATTCGAGTCAGTGTTCCTTGTGGCGAAGGCCTCTAGAGTTCTATTCATCATTTCCCAAGTGTTTGCCTATGTCATAGCATCCGGTCCTGCGTTGCTGCTAGCTGTTGAGTCCCCCGGACCAGTCGTTGTATTCGACGTTCCATTCTTCATTATTGTTTTCGCAGCTGTTGGTGCTATGCTCACCGTATCCCGGGTTAAGGACAACGGTGTAGATTGCCGTTTGTTCCTTTGTGGTTCTACAAAGTCAACTCTGGTGCCTTGCGTACGATCCGCTGCCGGTCTTTCTTGTGAAGTAGAACTTCTCAAGATTGCATCCAATTTCGCCTGTATTGCACACGAAATTTCGGCCTGATTCTTGCTCATTGTGTCCATTCTCTTTTCCAGGCTACCTAATTGGCTGTTGACATCATCATATCGGTTTTTCAACTGTTGCATATCTTTTTTGATGTTCTTATCTCGCTCTTCATTGGTGGCTTCTACCTTATCTGACATTTCCTTGAGTCTCTCATCTGTTGCCTTAGCCAGGTTAAAATAACTATCCAGATACTCGTGCTTGTTGTATCTTAATTCTTTTCTTATCACCTCTCTGTCCTCTTCACTGTGCTTTAGTTTTTCGTCAATCTGATTCAGTTTCGCCATCAAGTCACCCAGCTCAATAGTAGCCTCTTCATGGTCGGCCGTCGGTCTGTCTTTGGCCGTAGCCTCTGCTTTAGTTTGTTCCTCTCTTGGATTGGCTTCTGTCGTCTTCGTGCTCACTGTCCCAAATGTTCGTGCTCTTTCAGCTTTTGGTTCTTCAGTCGTGTTTTCTTTCGTTTTTATTCCGAACATCATTGCCAACTATTCTGTAAAAGATGTCTTTTTTACTTGAGAGTCTTCTTTCACCGTTTCTTCGGTGTTGCCTATTGCATCTTCCGCATTGTCTATTGGTGAGAACTCTATGGGTTTCGGGTTTGGTTCTTCTGCATTGGGCATTGGAGTTGACTCCGTCGCCATTTTCCCTGTTTCATCCACACTTTGATCGGGTGTCTCTAGATCAATCTCGATGGTGGGTTCTACTCGTTCCCCTTCCGTGCCCTCTTTTGCTCTGTTCTCCGCTGTACTCCTTGTGCTGACCATGTTAACTGAAAAGCTCTTCTTTGTTATCTTCGGACCCATTGATGTTGTTTTGCGTAGCGACGAATTATACTTTGCTTTGGTAGGTCTTTTTTCAGCTACCGGTACCCTGCTCCGCCTCATTATTTACAATTGTTATTATTTACAGTATTATTATCTACAAAATTTCTACTCTAAGGTTAAAAACTCTAAGGAAAAAGAAATTGACAATTCGCTAAAAACAATTTTTCTTAAACTCTTGTAAGCTCTTTCGTGTTAGGTTAGGATTGGGAACGTGTTGTTATAATTGGTACTTCAACCTAACTACTTTTGTAGTACACCCTTCCTAATGCTGTTCCAAGACTTTCCCTCTACCGTCCCAAGACTATTCCGTGTTGTCCCAGTACTTCTTGTTGGTATCCTCAGACCAACGTCCCTAGACCAACGTCCCAAGACCAACGTCCCAAGACTAACGTCCCAAGACCAACGTCCCAAGACCAACGTCCCAAGACTAACGTCCCAAGACCAATGGCCCAAGACCAACGTCCCAAGACTAATGTCCCAAGACGAACGTCCCAAGACTAATGTCCCAAGACCAATGGCCCAAGACCAACGTCCCAAGACTAACGTCCCAAGACCAATGTCCCAAGACCAACGTCCCAAGACTAATGTCCCAACACCAATGGCCCAAGACTAATGTCCCAAGACCAATGGCCCAAGACCAATGTCCCAAGACTAATGTCCCAAGACCAACGTCCCAAGACTAATGTCCCAAGACCAATGGCCCAAGACTAATGTCCCAAGACCAATGGCCCAAGACTAATGTCCCAAGACTAATGTCCCAAGACGAACGTCCCAAGACTAATGTCCCAAGACCAATGGCCCAAGACTGTTTCGTACCAAGACTGCTCTGGTCCAAGACTGCCCCAATGCTGCACTGTCCCAAGACTGTGTTGCCCCAAGACTGTCCCCAGACTGCAATGTCCCAAGACCAATTCGGTACTGTCCCAAGACTCGTCACTGAGTGTCTGGATATCGGATTTCTTTCTTCTTCGTTGTAGGGACTTCTTGGTTCACTGTACCTTGTACCACCACTCAAGCTCTAGTGAAAATTTTCCCAAAAACCCTCTCTTGATTGCCAAATGCTGACCCCCCTTTTTTAGTTACCTCTTTTTCAATGTTCCCAGCAATTGAAAGCCAAAACTTGTGCGCAGGTATCTTGTGATCACCTGTTTGTATAAAAAAACCAATCGCAAATCTTCACCAAAATGCAACAATATATATAATAAAAATTTTAAACCAGAAAAAGTAATAAAACAGAGAAATCAACCCACCTAAAATTCAAAGGAGACAAATGTCGACCTTCTATCGAAAAAAAATGTCTGGTACCTAATTGCCACGCGTTTTCCTCCCCCCACTAGTGATCTTATTGGGTGTCACAAAAACGGTCTATTTCCGTTCCCCCCTACCAATCCAACCAGCGTACCAATCTTAACTCGAGCTAAATTTTGGATATCCACCTATTATTACCACGCGTGTTGATGGCTATTGTAACTAAATCAACGATGTCGATTAATTAGTTACTCTATTTTTCCCCCTTTTTACAATTTACAACCGCCAACCTCTAACCTAACCAGCCCCCCTAACTAACCTCCCCCCTCTTTAGGCCCCCTCTTAAGCCGAAAAATCCCTTAAGCGCCGGGTGCTAAGCCTCTCGAGAGAAAACCGTAGACCTGTTTCCAGGCCTGCTTGAGTAAAAACTGCTTCAAAACAATGGGACTCCGCTTATCCAATTTTACACTTATTTCCTATAATGTAATGAGGATTCTAACGGTACCCGTTGCTCGACTTGAGAACACCCCTGTTCGTCCTCTTGTAGTGGTCCTGTGCTGGTTGTCTCTGTTCTGCCCTTGACAGCAGAACCACTTTCCCACTCGACTGGTCACCTCTTCCAATCAAGTCTCCTAGTGGTCCGTTTCGATCCTTGTGAACCACTTTCCCACTCGACTGGTCACCCTTTCCAGTCAAGTCTCCTAGTGGTCCGGTTGGGTCGCAATCTATCTAAAAACCCTTAACAACGCCCCCCACTCGGGCACCTTACTGAAGTCATTGGTTTAAATTGCTAGATTGATCGAAACGATCGGTCTTATAAAACAGTATGTATATACTATTTAATTAGTACAAAGGTTTGATCCAACTAATTTGGTGTCAAAGTCACTGTCTTTTTTCTTTTTTATGGTTTTTGTTCCTATTTGTATTCTTTTTTGCTCGTGTTTTTGTCCCCCTAGTTGCCCTTCTTCACTCGGTTAGCTAAGCCTCGTTCGGAGAGCGTACCAGGAAGTTTTCTTGAGTTTTCTTAAAAAGCTATCACGGTACAACCGGAAGGTTTACACGTTCCCGCTGAACCGTACCACCGGTACTCTAGAATGGGCATGTAGCCCGGAGCTGTGTCAAGTGGGTTCGACTCCGTAGTCATGATGTCGTAAAAACACCCAGGAGCGCCATAAAAACACTATGTAACAGTCGCCTACTTTAGTCTTAGTCACATATGAGACTGAAGAAAAATAGCCCCTATAACAATTGGCTCAAGAGTCAGGGACACTATCTCTTGTGTTTTTCTACCTCAAGAACGGTCGGAGACAATTCGGTTCGCTTGCGACATGAGACTAGAACCCGTTACAGCTTAAAGGCCACTACCAAAATACCCCCCCACTCTAGAAATAAGAACGTCCCCATACTTAGGTCTCGAAATACCCAAAATACATGAACGCCGTTAAAAACCGGGTCGGAACAATCCGCTTAGTTACTTTTTATTGGACAGTGGAACTTTGATCCATTTCAGATGGATCAACCTAAAACTCGCCTTATCTCAACATAACTATCATAAAATACACTCGAGAAATTTAAATTGAGAACTCACATGTCGATTCACTTGAGTATGAGGAGTAAGTAAAAGATGAGCAGCTTGAGAATTAAATAATATAACTAAATAAGTTTGATGCTAATTAGTTTTAACAACAGAAGTAAGTTCTGTCTCAAGAATCAAAGTTTGTGAATGAACCATTGGGACACTCGAGTTGTCCACTCTTCCATTGAATGTTCACTCCTTTCCGTTCGAATAGTCGTCCTTTCTCAAGTCTGTATTCTATTTTCCTGTTTTCAGGATAAGACAGCTCTACTCTCTTATTATTTCGTATCGAGAAATTGCGAATAGCAATTTCCTGTTTTTTTCTTGAGTAGTTTCCCGCAATTGTTAATTCGGTCGTTCTGATTTTTGATTTTTTGCGTTTTCAGTTGGTTCGAGAAAACTGAGCATGACAGGCTCCATTCGAAATTTTTAAAATTAAAACTTCACTCCAAAATTACGTGTTTCTCAAGGTCAAACCTCCAGACATGACCGACTGGCACATATAGCGGATAGGGCCTTATCTTTACTTTTTCGTAATAGATATGCAGATTGTTCGGTTGCAAGAAATAATGAACAGTTTTTGAATAAAATTTAGGAGTATTCTTATCTCATTTTTTGATCGAAATGTTTTATCGTTTTCAATTATTAGTTATCATAAAAAAAATGGATATAGTTAAGCCCAAATCGTCTGTTTTGAAGGTAATTGACTTCTATAACAATTGCAATAACTTTTTTTTCTGGTTTTTGAGCCTGCGATTTCTTCAACAAAATACATTGATGTTTTCCAATTTTCGTCTAAGACGTATTATTTTTTTGATTTTAGGAGCTTTTTTATGTATCCCAAGTGCTGCGAAGCTCAGCTTCAACTCTGTGTTAGGAAAGGTGAAGCCAATGTCTAGGTGTAAAATTGTTGGTTTGTGAGTCATAATACATCACAGCTGGCTTTGACTGAAAATTATTTTCCTTGAGTTGCCTGCAGAATTCCCAGAGTAAGTCTTGGATTAGGAAAAGCCGGAGTTTTTTCTAGCAGAAATTGGCCAATATTTGGTGGAGTTGGAAGTCGGGTTGGACGAACAAGAACTGATGCAGATTCGGCTCACAGAATCGTCTACTCGAACCACTTCATCTTCTTTATCCTCAGCATCATCATCTCAAAGTGGCCTTAACACGTCTCCTTTTCAAATGGAGAAGCGTTTATTGCTATTCAAAATACCGCCTCTTCAAAGCCCACTTGGAAATAGTCTCAAATTGGACGCCATTTGGAAATGCTCAATTTGGGCATCTATGTTTACAGGATCATGTAGGAAAAGGAGGCGAGCTTCTACTCGTGAAAAAGAGAGATCGCGTTCACAATTAAAGTCCACGCAAAAAATTGCCTCAAATACTTGGAGACATCCTTGTAATGCGTTGGGTTCCTCCGCGTTCTACCCCAAGTTACTGATGCACCTTTTGCTACTAATCTCCTCGCTAATTACAAGTTAGTGCTCCTGCATTTTTAAATTGCCTGATCGGCTCTTTTGTGTTCATGCCCCGAATATCAGGCATAATTGGAACAAAATTTAATCCCCGCGAACAAAAAATCAAAATGAGTCTAACTCATTTCGAAAATATTTGAGGTGATTAGTGTTTGTTTCAAACTCTCCCAATTTAATGGCAAGTTAAGCAAAGGGGAAAAGTTTTTGATTTGTTTTGATTTTGTTTAGCAAACGCAATGCACATCAACGATCAGAGCAACTTACTAAAGAGAGAATCACCATCCAGAACTGTCAACATGGACACTGCAGCGAGACACAGACGTTCTTCAGGATCCTTCTATGAACAGATGCCTCGGAGTGGGGGTAATCAAGGGGGTGGCATTGGTGGTCGGCCCAGTGGGAGAACAGACTCAGACTGTTCAATGGGATACTGTTCCGACTGGATTCAAAACAGCTATGCATTCAACAGAGAGGTGCTGGAAAGATGTGTCATCTTCAACAACGGACTAATTTGTCTGCAGAATGTTGACGCCAGTTGCTACAAGGACTTGAACTACCATGTATCAAATCGGTACCTGCAGAATCAATTCGATGATCTAAACTGCAAAGAGGTGAGCAACCATCAATACTTCACATTTACGTACTTTAAATGGTTACTAATAGATAATATATGAACAGATCGACATATTTCCATGGATAATGGTTCTCCCCTTATTTGACGTAAATATTAGCTAGAGCTATTTTAGTTTTAGTTCAAGCTTGATTATAGTTAGATAAAGATAAGTGAATTTTTTAAAAACAAATTTAACATTTTTTAATTGATGTTCAGGTAATAAAGAACCACACGAATGAGCTGCCGATGATCTCACAGCCGACTCAAAGACGGGTCCCGAGCAATTTCTGCTACATGGAGGACCCGGGAGTGTCTCTGCAGTCGCAACCTGTCTTCTGCAGTCTGTTCGGAGACCCCCACATTGTCACTTATGGGGGACGAAAGCAGACTTGTGCTGCAATTGGGGCTTGGCCTCTGGTCGACAATGTCTATTTCACTATACAAGCCTCATATGTGCCCATAGGGGACAGTAACGATAGATTCGGAAGACGAGGATCAGACCAGCATCCAAATCCGACCGAGTGGTCGCCCAGTTATTCATCCGGATCTCGAATATCTAGAAGTACAGATGTGACGCAAGTATTTGAAAGTCATATTCGCAATGCAAGAGACACTATTGGATCACATGAACGAAAGAACGATCAGTCCAATGCTTTAAGTTCCGCGTCGGCTATCAATAGAGTGAGTAGCACATTCTAAAATTCGTGTTATCTTGCAATTATCCTGAATGTTGAGCGTACATTGTTTGCAGTTGACCGGAAAGTGTGTCAATTTTGGCATGGTTGGGATTTTAAACATTAAGTTTTGTTCGCGTTTTTTTTCAGTCATGCGGTACGGAAATAGTCGCTGGTCGTTGACAGCTTGCATGAATGAAAAGCAACTTCTACTAGAATATCCACTGATGTGCCTGGCTTATAATAAACTTAGCAATTGAAAATAATATTACGCTAATGCATGGTTTGCACATATCGTAGTATATTAAAATGGTGTTCAATGCTATGAGCAAACACAATAAAGTGACTAATTTGAAGAGAATAGAACACAGACTTAGTGTCTTTTTTTCTTTTTCAAGTTAATGAAAAGTAAATGTCCAAAATTGTCAAATGCATTCCATTCCATTGCGTTTTGTGCGCTCATTTTGAAATATTTGTGGAGGGATGTGACGTGTAAGCAGTGTGTATTTTCATGTTAAGGTGCTGGTTGTGTTTCGATCTAAACTGAACTGCGTGGCCAAAGAGAAGATCTATGACACGACTGAGAGCATGTTGCCCTCTTCGTTCAACGACGGAACTTACGAGGGCGGCCATAGCGACAACCTATACGTGCTGCAGAAGGAGGCCAACGGCGCTCACGTAGAACTACAGGCCAAGTACATTAACACCACAATTGTAATCAGAAGAATAGGATCCTATCTCTCAATATCAGTCAAATCTCCAGTAGACGTGGCCAAAGCCTTGCCCTCCTACGGCCATACATCGCGCGATTTCCACATGGAACATTGCAGTGCCGCATGTCCAGATATGGAGACTCTGGCTGAATTTCCGGCCACACCGCCCCCTCAACATCCGAGTAAAGCTCGGGTATCATACGAGACTGCGAGGAAGCGTTGCAGCCACTTGGCTGGATTCTTTCTGGACTCTTGCATCTTCGACGTCATGACAACTGGCGACTGGAAGACGTTCGTAGAAATAGACCAGAAGTCGAGTGAGGACGAATCGAGACTGAATATTAGAAGTGACGTCGGTGTCGAGAGATTGTTCCCCCAACCTTCCAACAGTAAAAAACTGTCGTCTGCATTGTCAATATGCACCGCTAATGCTTTCAAAACTGGCCTCTCAGTCTTCTTAATTTTTGTTTTTTACTTAAATTTTTCATCTTTAATGATCTAATAGTAATACTATTCTCTTCTCATTTGCATTGCTTTTCCTCATTTTTGTCCAAATTGGAGTAAATGTTTAAGTTCTATATTTTTGATTAGTTTATTTGATAATTAAGCAGTTTTTGCTAATCTATCTATCTATCTATTATTTAATTGGCGTTTCACGTGACACATGTTTAAGAAGTCCCTATGTTGACGTGTTTAAGGAGTCCCTATTTTTGCATGTTGAAGTTTTTTCAACGTATTATTTTTTGCATATTTAACGGAAATGTTTTTGCACGTTTAAGCTATACCGTGGGTTCAAATGCTTAAGAAATTTCATTTGGCTCATGTTCAAGTCTGTTGGTCTGTTAAATGGCCGAAAAATTTGCAAGATTTGAAAGTTTTATATATACATACGTTCTATACATTCCTATATAGTGGGGTGCTGTTAAGTACATTTAGGGGTTGCAAATCTGGCATTCAATTGTGACTGCTCAAGTCCTTTTGTTTTTTGAGATATGGCGTTTTTATGTTTTTTTTTTCAAAAAATTTAGATATTAAAAAATTAACCGAACCTCAATATCTTAACCCTATACTGGTGTGCTGGCAGGGTACAATCAGAAGTTGCAAATCTGGAGTCCAAGTATGACTGCTGAAATCTTTTTGGTTTTCGAGATGTGGCGTTTTCTATGATTTTTTCATTTTTTTATCAAAAAACAGCAGTAAAAAAATAACTGAACTTCAATTTCTCAACGCTATCGTTGGGTGCTGTCAGGGTAGTTTCAGGTGTTGCAAATCTGTAGTCTAAGTATAACTGCTCAAATCCTTTTGGTTCTCGAGAAATGATATTTTTTTTATTATTATTTTTTCAAAAGTCTTAGATATAAATTAAATTAACCGAACTTCAATTTCTCAACCTTATAGTGGGTACTATCAGGGTACATTCAGGGGTTGCAAATCCGGTGTCCAAGTTTGACTGCTCAAATCCATTTGGTTTTCGAGAAATTGCGTTTTCTATGATTTTTTCATTTTTCGATCAAAAAACAGCTATAAAAAAATAACCGAACATCAATTTCTCAACGCTATCGTTGGGTGCTGTCAGGGTAATTTCAGGTGTTGCAAATCTGGAGTCTAAGTATAACTGCTCAAATCCTTTTGGTTCTCGAGAATCGGTGTTTTTATTATTTTTTTTTTCAAAAATCTTAGATATAAATTAAATTAACTGAACTTCAATTTCTCAACCTTATAGTGGGGTGCTGTCAGGGTACAATTAGGGGTTGCAAATCTGGCGTCCAAGTATGACTGCTCAAATCCTTATATTGTTCGAGATATGGCGTTTTTATGTTTTTTTAGTTCTTTTTTCAAAAAATTCAGATATTAAAAAACTAACCGAACTTCAATTTCTCAACCCTATAGTGAGATGCTGTCTCGGTACATTCAGGGGTTGCAAATCTGGCCTCCAAGTTTGACTGCTCAAGCCCTTTTTTTCGAGATGTTGCGTTTTTATGTTTTTTTTTTTTCAAAAAATTTAGATCTTAAAAAACTAACCGAACTTCAATTTCTCAACCCTATACTGGGGTGCTGTCAAGGTACATTCAGAAGTTGCAAATCAGGAGTCCAACTATGACTGCTCAAATCCTTATATTGTTCGAGATTTGGCGCTTTTATGATTAATTTTCTTCAAAAAACCTAGAAAAAAAAACCCGACCTAACTTGAATTTTGAACCTTATAGTGGGGTGCTATCAGGGTACATTCAGGGGTTGCAAATCTGGCGTCCAAGTATGACTGCTCAAGTCCTTTTATTTTTCGAGATATGGCGTTTTTATGTTTTTTGTAGTTCTTTTTTCAAAAAATTTAGATATTAAAAAACTAACCGAACTTCAATTTCTCAACCCTATAGTGAGATGCTGTCTCGGTACATTCAGGGGTTGCAAATCTGGCCTCCAAGTTTGACTGCTCAAGTCCTTTTATTTTTCGAGATGTTGCGTTTTTATGTTTTTTTTTTCAAAAAATTTAGATCTTAAAAAACTAACCGAACTTCAATTTCGCAACCCTATACTGGGGTGCTGTCAAGGTACATTCAGAAGTTGCAAATCAGGAGTCCAACTATGACTGCTCAAATCCTTATATTGTTCGAGATATGGCGCTTTTATGATTAGTTTTTTTCAAAAAACCTAGAAAGAAAAAACCCGACCTAACTTGAGTTTTGAACCTTATAGTGGGGTGCTATCAGGGTACATTCAGGGGTTGCAAATCTGGCGTCCAAGTATGACTGCTCAAGTCCTTTTATTTTTCGAGATATGGCGTTTTTATGTTTTTTGTAGTTCTTTTTTCAAAAAATTTAGATATTAAAAAACTAACCGAACTTCAATTTCTCAACCCTATAATGAGGTGCTGTCAAGGTTTAATCAGGAGTCGCAAATCTGGCCTCCAAGTTTGACTGCTCAAGTCCTTTTATTTTTCGAGATAAGGCGTTTTTATGTTTTTTTAGTTTTTTTTTTCAAAAAATTCACATATTAAAAAACTAACCGAACTTCAATTTCTCAACCCTATACTGGGGTGCTGTCAGAGTACAGAGTCCAACTATGACTGCTCAAATCCTTATATTGTTCGAGAAATGGCGCTTTTTTGATTTTTCAATTTTTTTTTTCAAAAAACCTAGAAAGAAAAAACCCGACGGAACTTGAATTTTGAACCCTATAGTGGGGTGCTATCAGGGTACATTCAGGGGTTGCAAATCTGGCGTCCAAGTATGACTGCTCAAGTCCTTTTATTTTTCGAGATATGGCGTTTTTATGTTTTTTTTAGTTCTTTTTTCAAAAAATTTAGATATTAAAAAACTAACCGAACTTCAATTTCTCAACCCTATAATGAGGTGCTGTCAAGGTTTATTCAGGAGTCGCAAATCTGGCCTCCAAGTTTGACTGCTCAAGTCCTTTTATTTTTCGAGATAAGGCGTTTTTATGTTTTTTTAGTTTTTTTTTTTCAAAAAATTTACATATTAAAAAACTAACTGAACTTCAATTTCTCAACCCTATACTGGGGTGCTGTCAGAGTACAGAGTCCAACTATGACTGCTCAAATCATTATATTGTTCGAGAAATGGCGCTTTTTTGATTTTTCAATTTTTTTTTCTTCAAAAAACCTAGAAAGAAAAAACCCGACGGAACTTGAATTTTGAACCCTATAGTGGGGTGCTATCAGGGTACATTCAGGGGTTGCAAATCTGGCGTCCAAGTATGACTGCTCAAGTCCTTTTGATTTTTCGAGATATGGCGTTTTTATGTTTTTTTTAAGTTTTTTTTTTCAAAAAATTTAGATATTAAAAAACTAATCGAACTTCAGTTTCTCAACCCTATTGTGAGGTGCTGTTAAGGTTCATTCAGGGGTTGCAAATCTGGCCTCCAAGATTGACTGCTCAAGTTCTTTTATTTTTCGAGATATGGCGTTTCTATGTTTTTTTTTAATATTTTTTTTCAAAAAATTTAAATATTAAAAAACTAACCGAACTTCAATTTCTGAACTTTATACTGGGGTGCTGTCAGGGTACATTCAGTAGTTGCAAATCAGGAGTCCAACTATGACTGCTCAAATCCTTATATTGTTCGAGATATGGCGCTTTTCTGATTTTTTAATTTTTTTCAAAAAACCTAGAAGAAAAAACCCGACGGAACTTGAATTTTGAACCCTATAGTGGGGTGCTATCAGGGTACATTCAGAGGTTGCAAATCTGGCGTCCAATTATGACTGCTCAAGTCCTTTTGATTTTTCGAGATATGGCGTTTTTATGTTTTTTTTAAGTTTTTTTTTCAAAAAATTTAGATATTAAAAAACTAATCGAACTTCAGTTTCTCAACCCTATTGTGAGGTGCTGTTAAGGTTCATTCAGGGGTTGCAAATTTGGCCTCCAAGTTTGACTGCTCAAGTTCTTTTATTTTTCGAGATATGGCATTTTTATGTTTTCGTTTTTTTTTTTAAATTTAGATATTAAAACTATCCGAATTTTAATTTCTCAACCCTATACTGGGGTGCTTCCAGGGTACATTCAGAAGATGAAAATCAGGATTCCAACTATGATTGCTCAAATCTTTTTGGTTTTCGAGATATGGCGTTTTTTATGATTTTTACATGTTTCTTTTTTCAAAAAAATTAAGATATAAAAAAATTGGATACTAAAAACTAACCGAGCTCAAATTTCTCCTATAGTGGGGTGCTGTCAGGGTATATTCAGGGGTTGCACATCTGGCATCCAAGTGTGATTGCTCAAATTCTTTTGGTTTCCGAGAAATTCCGTTTTCTGTGATTTTTTTCTATTTTTTTTTTTTCAAAAATCTTAGATATAAAAAAAAATAGCGAACATTAATTTCTCAAACCTATAGAGGGTTGCTGTCAGGGTACATTCAGAAGTTGCAAATCAGGATTCCAACTATGATTGCTCAAATCTTTTTGGTTTTCGAGATATGGCGTTTTTTATGTTTTTTACATGTTTCTTTTTTCAAAAAAATTAAGATATAAAAAAATTGGATACTAAAAACTAACCGAGCTTGAATTTCTTAACCCTATAGTGGAGTGCTGTCAGGGTATATTCAGGGGTTGCAAATCTGGCGTCTAAGTATGACTGCGCAAGTCCCCTTTATTTTTCGAGATATGTCGTTTTTATGTTTTTTTTAGTTTTTTTTTTTCAAAAAATTTAGAAATCAAAAAAATTAACCGAACTTCAATTTCTCAACTCTATAGTGAGGCTGTCAAGGTACATTCAGGGTTGCAAATTTGGCCTCCAAGTTTGACTGCTCAAGTCCTTTTATTTTTCGAGATATGGCATTTTTATGTTTTAGTTTTTTTTTTTTACATTTAGATATTAAAACTATCCGAACTTCAATTTCTCAACCCTATACTGGGGTGCTTTCAGGATACATTCAGAAGTTGCAAACCAGGATTCCAACTATGATTGCTCAAATCGAGATATGGCGTTTTTTATGATTTTTTTATGTTTCTTTTTTCAAAAAAAATAAGATATAAAAAAATTGGATACTAAAAACTAACCGAGCTCAAATTTCTCAACCCTATAGTGGGGTGCTGTCAGGGTATATTCAGGGGTTGCAC